ATTTTATTATATTAAATATAATAATAAATATATACTATATTGTAATTATATATATTATATTATAGTATAATATAATATAATATAGTCGTAATTTTTAACTATCCATAACAATTCAACTTTATAATTTATCAAACGCTATTACACTGATTTTGAAACCATTACAGCTACTATAATTATAGTTTACTAAACACTCAACTGTTTTTTATAACAGCTGCTTCTTCCTTTAATACAGTTAAAAATAATTTTTTTTTAAATCTATAACATTACCAAACTAAGCCTCAATCACTAGCCTCCACCAACCAAACTCCATATCCAACTCCTAGTGAATCTTATAGTGTGGCCAAATGTGAAACAACTTCTCTAGTGGAGAACCGCCATTTGCTTTACAATCATAATTAGCTACACATATCAAAAACCGGAAGAGCAAATGTTTTTATGTTTCCTTTTCCTCCTTCTTGGGGTGTTTGAAATAAAAAGCATTTCGCAAGAGAACCAAAAAGGAAGAGCAAATGCAATAAGTGTGAGAGTTGGGGTGGTTGGTTGCTAAATGCCACGGCCACAAAGAGACTCAATCACTAGCTCCCACCAACCAAACTCCATATCTTAGGGCCCGTTTATTTCGCTGATTCGAGTTTAGAATTTGAGTTTTGTTACAGTAAAAAGTTCTCAGAAACAGTCACATCTAACTTTTTTGTTACAGTAAAAAGCTCTCACACAAAATCACATCTCAACTCAAATTACAAACTCGAATCAGCGAAGTGAACAGGTGAATCTCGTCGTGTGGCCAAATGTGAAACAAACTTCTCTAGTGGAGAACCGCCATCTGCTTTACAATCATAATTAGCTACACATGTCAAAAACCGGTTTTACACCCCTTGTCTTAAACCAATTTCTCAAATAATACGACGTCGTTTTAGTCCTATATAGTTAGGGGTGTGTTTGTTATAAAAAGAAATGGCACGGCTTTAAGACGCTAGTTACCGTGTTTCCAGCTACTTCACAGGAGTACAGTTATGGCTTCGTACACATTGGAGTGAATTTCCATTTTTTTCACACTTTCCTCTCAGTGTTGTCTCTTTATTGTGTCCTTGTTTTATGTGTCTGAACTAGCTCTTCTCAACATGGTAACTTACTCTTTAAGTGAAACACTCAATCACTAGCCCCCACATTTGGAGTCTCTTTTGCTTCTCTTTTCTCGGTAAAACTTAAGGTGGGATTTTGGATTTTGTTGGCTTTTTCTCCACCTTAATAGAACATTGCATTTCTACATCTTTTGTGTTGTTTTGTTGTTGCTTTTTGGTTTTTTTTTTTTTTTTTTTTTTTTTTTTTTTGGAATTCTGATTTATCCTTAATATTGGATGTTTCTATTGTTTTAAGTTGGTTGGAAACAATTGAACGGTTCAAATTCCCTCCTTATCAGGAAATGGCCGTCGAGATGAGAAAATGTCTTCATTTGCCATCTAAAGCCCTTTGGATCACAGTTTTGTTATTGTCCTTGCTACACAATTTTGAAGGGACTTCTTCAGCTTCAACATACTTGATTGGTCTTGGAAGCTATGACATAACAGGGCCGGCTGCGGATGTTAATATGATGGGATATGCCAATGCAGAACAGATTGCATCTGGGATTCACTTCAGGTTGCGAGCTCGTTCGTTTATCGTCGCGGAACCGAAGGGAAACCGTGTTGTATTTGTAAATCTTGATGCCTGCATGGCCTCCCAAATTGTTACAATCAAAGTTCTTGAGAGATTGAAAGCAAGGTAGAAAATGCTACTATTTCTACAAGTGGTGATTATGTGAGATATATCTACCCGTGATTATGATGCTTTTGAGATTGATAATTAATACATATATACTAAAGAATGTCATGTAGGCATTTTAAAGGGGAAACTGTCATTTTTTCAAATCATAAAAAAAAAAAAAAAAAATCTTTAGGAGGTTTTTACTCGCATAAATATTTATTTACCAGTTGATTATCATTTTCCAAGATTTTGAAGGTCATATTGTGTATTTATTCTAGGTATGGAGACCTTTATACAGAGCAGAATGTTGCCATTAGTGGCATTCACACTCATGCTGGACCTGGAGGATATCTCCAGTATGTTGTGTACATTGTCACATCACTTGGATTTGTGCGCCAGTCGTTTCATGCTGTTGTTGACGGCATTGAGAAAAGCATTGTAGAAGCTCACGAGAATCTTCGACCGGGATCAGTTTTCGTGAACAAAGGTAAGCGAAACTGAATCGTAATTCCTTGAGCTTGAATGATCATCCTACACTTAAGGGTGTATTGACATCCTAATTCAATAAAAAAAAAAAAAAAAAAATTGTTTTCCTGAGTTGCAACCTTTGGTCCTCTAGAAGATGTATATTAATGCATTTAGCTAACATTCACATGCCGAAACCATTTATAGGTGGTAAAAGAAGATTCTTTTGACTTGCAAAGCATGCTTTGTTGATGGTCAAGTGGTAAACATAGATAGATGTTAAAGCAAGAGGTCGAAGATATCCTTTTGGGAAGCAAGTTTTATTTCCAGACTCTAGTCTGCAAATTTACAATAAGTCTAGTCTAAAACTTTAGATGGGTAGTGTTTTGTTGCTTGATGGACAAAACCATTTTTGACATATCCTCTTTTGCTCAAAGATTTATGATTATACTAGTACATAGAAATTCAAGATTATATGATGTTTTTATACTTTAGCATGTGATGGTGCACTTTATCAATGAAGAGGTCACATTTTCTAATGAATTTTCCTCAAATCTTTCTGTCATGGCATTATTATAGGAGATCTCTTGGATGCCGGTGTGAACCGTAGTCCTAGCGCTTATCTCAACAATCCTTCATCTGAGCGGAGTAAATACAAGTATGATGTTGATAAAGAAATGACTCTCATCAAGTTTGTTGATGATTACTGGGGCCCGATAGGTACCTTTAACTGGTTTGCCACTCATGGAACTTCTATGAGCCGTACAAACTCACTAATAAGTGGTGACAACAAAGGGGCTGCAGCTCGATTTATGGAGGATTGGTTTGAACAAAATGGTTTTGGCAGTAGTTTGCATGTCAATAAGTCAGGAGCCAGCGAAATCCCACGCAGGGTCTCGAGCTTAATTTCGAATTCCAATGGAAATAGTAAGAACAAAATCTACCGAAAGATGCTAATATAGGATACATACATGTTCCATACACACGTTTGCATATAGATACAAATATATTAGGACATAGGCATGTTGATATCAACATCTCTATATGAATATGAATTCATCATTACTATATGTAGAAAACACACTGCATATATACTCCTTTCTTTTCTTTCATTAAATGGAAAATTCTTTTACCTTTGTAATAATTATACTTTCTTTTTTTACAGGAAATGCATTAATGAAACTTGCTGCCTCTTTTCAGTCTTCCAAAGGACAGCCTGTGACAAGGCTTTTGAGTTCAGCAAAGAGGGTCAGGAATGCTTTAAGTAAACCTGAAAAGCCTCAATTTGTATCTGCATTCTGTCAATCAAACTGCGGTGACGTAAGCCCCAACGTTCTCGGTGCATTTTGCACCGATACTGGACTTCCGTGTGATTTTGATCACAGTACCTGCAATGGAAAAAATGAATTGTGCTATGGCCGAGGACCAGGGTAGGATTTGTTCTCATTTCTAAAGACCTCTCTGAGTATGTTGGTTAAATATACAACAGATCATAAAAAACATACGTACATCATCCTTTTTTTGGCAGTTATCCAGATGAGTTTGAGAGTACTCGTATAATTGGAGAAAGGCAATTTAGAAAAGCAGTGGAGTTGTTTGACAAAGCAACTGAGAAGGTGAAAGGGAAAATTAGATACCGCCATGCTTACGTAGACTTCTCCAAGTTAAAGCTTTCAGTCCCTCAAGAGGATGGGACTAACAAGGTGCTGCAAACATGCCCTGCTGCATTAGGATTCGCATTTGCCGCAGGAACTACTGACGGGCCTGGAGCTTTTGATTTCAGGCAGGGAGATGACCAGGTTTAAAAAATAAAAGTTTCTTTGGATGTTTGAACCATCATTACACGAATCTCTCCTCAATTCTTCTTGATGTTTGTGCTTGGTGCTTCGTTAGGGGAACGCCTTTTGGAGATTGGTGCGGAATGTGTTGAAAACACCAACTCAAGAGCAGATCAAATGTCAGCATCCAAAGCCTGTTCTCCTTGATACTGGGGAAATGAAGGAGCCATATGACTGGGCTGTGAGTATATTACAATGATGTTCAGTTATATATATGTCGACATTTTATTCTTTATTAACAGTTTTTGATGATCTTGAACCACTTAAATTAGTGTGAGTTCTGGTTTATCTTTTTTTCCAATAAATCAATGTCATTTGTTTCAAATAAGGGTTGATACTGGTACTCAAAACGTATGTAATGACTTTATGCAGCCCTCAATTGTTCCAGTTCAAATTCTGCAGATCGGGCAACTTGTCGTTCTGAGTGTACCTGCAGGTACAAAGCAAATTTATTATTACCATACGCAATTATATAGTGGCATAATATGGCAATGTCCTGGTAAATATTGCTTTCTAGCTATTAAGTGAGCGAGTTTTGCATGCACATTTATGTCTTGTTAGCAAGAAATTATATCAGAAATCTGCCTCACTTTTTTCTTTTTTTGTCGGCTTCCTAGTTTCTTTATACATGCGAATATCTAATGATATCCTTTCCTTCAGAGTTCACAACCATGGCCGGCAGGCGCCTCCGGGATGCTCTCAAAACAGTGCTAACTTCAGGTCGAAATGGTGATTTTGACAGAAATGTGCATATAGTCATAGCAGGGCTGACTAATACATATTCTCAGTACGTCACCACCTTTGAGGAGTACCAGGTTCAGAGATACGAGGTTTGTATCCACCGTGCAAGTATATAGTAAATTTTTTAATCACATAAATCAGATGAAGCTATACTAAATCTTAAAAATAGGAAGTACTAAGGACCTCGAAACTTGCTTATCCAATGGAGTTCAATAAATAAATTCTTCTATTATTATTATTTTTTTTTTTTTTGTAAAAAACAAATGTGCTTTCCAACTTTTAGGGGGCCTCTACACTCTTTGGACCACACACACTTGAAGCTTACATTCAAGAGTTCAAGAAGCTAGCGACAGCTCTAATAAGCGAGCAAACCACCGAACCGGGGCCACGACCTCCAGACCTGCTTGCCAAGCAAATCAGCCTGCTGGCCCCAGTTGTTGTGGACATGACCCCTTCTGGTGTGAAATTTGGGGATGTCAAGACCGACGTCCCTCGAAACTCGACCTTCAAGAGGGGTAACATGGTCTCGGTTACCTTCTGGTCTGCCTGCCCGAGGAATGACCTCATGACTGAAGGCACATTTGCATTGGTTGAGCTTCTCAAGGATCACAAGACATGGGTTCCAGCCTACGATGACGACGATTTCTGCCTCCGGTTCAAGTGGTCGAGGCCCCAAAAACTTAGTCCTCAAAGCTATGCAACCATTGAGTGGAGGATCCCAGTATCTGCACCACCTGGTGTGTACAGGATGAGTCATTTTGGCGCCTCAAAAGCACTTTTGGGATCAATTAGCCACTTCACAGGTTCTTCCAGTGCTTTTGTAGTGACATAGGGAGCCTGCAATGCTTTGTGCAAGTCCTTGTTCCAGTCATACGATTTTGTGTTCATTCAAAAAAGAAAGATACTTACGACAACCCAAAGGGTGAACAACGGCATATTCAGAACTAAATAAGCTATTTAGCACATATGTTTTTTTTTTCTTTTATAAAGGTAAAATTTCATTACCACAAAGAATTAATTACAAACTTAAATAAAATCGCACATGACTCTAAATATAATGGAATTCGACCTGAACGATTGGATCCACCAGTAAAATAATAATTAACACAGACAAATATGAATGCTGATATTTATCACATAGTTTAGATGTTTGTTTAAGCAAATGATTATCATGTGATTATAAAATCTTTTTACTTTCTACTATTCTCTGTTCTGCGAATGTGCATTTATGTTTACCGATCAGTTTGTAATGAAAGATTAGCGGGTCCAGCTCATTTTTTCACATCAATTGAGAAGTTGGATTTCTAGAAGCAGACATCAAAATTAAAATTAGCATTTTCATTTCATTTTTTTTAAAATTTTCTAAATGGTTCAATTTTCCTATAATTCTCTTTTCACCTATTTTCATTGAGATTTAGAGGTGGCCACTGGGTTGAAGTAATGAAAAATAAGGGAAAAAAAGCTGCTAATCGCTATCGTCAATTCGTCATTGACTTTGTTCATTAATCTGTTATTATTATTATTATTATTTTAAATTGTCGTCATTGTCTTTTTTTAAGTCTTTTCCTTTTTTTTTTGTTGATATTAAATGTTATCGTTTTTCAAGTCATTATTGGTACGTATTCAATTATAAAAAAATGACATTATTTCAAACGTTAGTAAATTGTACGTGTATCTGGATGACTTTTTTTTGGAAAGCAACCGTGTTATATGTCTTTTTTTATTTTTGAGTTAGAGTGATTTGAGTAATAATTTTAAATTGAGTTTGAGTTATAATTTGAGTTAAATTTATAAGTTAAGTTTGTGATTGAATGTGTACATTTGAGTTATGATTTAAATTGAGAATCTTTTTAAATTTGTATTTAGATGGATCAAAACTTAAATTTGTATTTAGATAGTATTTTAATAAAAACTTAATGGTGATGAAAAATTTTAATAGGGTATATGGGTGAGGTTTTATTCGTCTTTTCGTGTAAATGTATAGAAAAAAATTATCTCAATCAGAATTAAAACGAAAAAATTATGATATTTTTAAGAATAGAAAAAATATTGCTCATAACTTGAGTTCAAATTTATGAACTCGAGTTGAAGGGGAAACTCACTCAAGTTCAAACTTGAGTTCAAACTCAAATTTTACAAACGAACATGAACTTAAATAAAGTTATAACTCGAGTTCAAACTTTTTCTGAGTTTGTTACAAAAGAACAACCCATGTTGCATATTTATACGGTTAAAACAATGAGAGACCTATCGAGAGTTTAGGTCTTATTCATTTCACTGATTTAAGTTTTGAGTTTTAGATTTATATAGTTGAAAGCTCTCTAAATGTCACATCTAACTTTTCTGCTACAGTTAAAAGCTCTAAGAAAATATCACATCTTAACTCGAATTAAAAATTCGAATCTACAAAACGAACGAGGCCTAAGGGGTTGTTCTTTTGTATTTTTGAATTAAGGTGATTTGAGTGATGATCTTGAGTTGAGTTTCAGTTATAACTTGAGTTGAAGTTGTAACTTGAGTTTGTGTTTGGATGTGCACATTTGAGTTATGATTTGAATTGAGAATCTATTTGAGTTTGTGTTTGGGTGGGTCAAAACTTAAATTTGTATTTAGATAGTATTTTAATAAAAATTTAATGGTGATGAATAATTTTAATGGGGTAAATGAGTGAGGTTTTATTCGTATTTTCGTTGTGAATGCATAGAAAAAAAAATCATCTCAATCAGAATTAAAACGAAAAAGTTATAACATTTTTAAGAATAGAACAAATATTGTTCATTAACTTGAGTTTGAGTTTATAAACTCGAGTTGAAGGAGAAACTTGAACTCGAGTTTAGTCTCAAACTCGAGTTCAAACTTGAATTTAAACTCAAGTTTAAACTCAAATTTTATAAAAAAAATATGAACTTAAATAAAATTATAACTTGAATTTAAACTTTTTCTTAGAAGAACCCGGACTCTAATGCATACGTGGTGTGTATTAGGCTCCGTTCACTTTGCTGATTCGAGTTTAAAATTCGAGTTGAGATGTGACTTTATGTGAGAGTTTTTTACTATAACAAAAAATTTAGATGTGATTGTTTATGAGAGCTTTTTACTGTAAAAAAACTCAAATTCTAAACTCGAATCAGCAAAGTGAACGGGGCCTTATTCACGAATAAAATTGTTTTAAAATTTTTGTTATCATGTTCCGTATTTGTGATTTTGACTTTTTCAATGATCTTTTATGTACTTCTTCGAAGGGATTGTGTGGACAGTAAAAGAAGAAAATATGAAATTATTTAAGATTTTTGCAAAAAGTCTATAAATACATTTCACACTTTATATAGACCCCTGAAAGAAAACTTTGCAACCCAGCCTACATAGAATGAAAAATACATATATAAACGTGTTTGTTTGACCATACTAAAATATTATATCGTCTAATAATACATTAATATAATATTTGATGTGGCTATTATATTATATAAATTAATAAAAATAATAAATTAATAGAATTTATGTGGTATTATAGAATACGTCCTATTTTTAGTAATGTATTGTGTTAATTTATAGGATTTTTATGATCTCTGTTAAGGTTGGACACGACGACCTGGAGTCCAAATTGGCCGATATAGGGTCATGTAAAATATATAATTGCCTAAAAATGTAGGGGCACAATACATTACTCTTCAATTTTTTAAAAATTATATTGATCCCAATTTTTGAACAATTACAATTCTATCCCAAAATTTTTAGAAATTTGCATTCGTTCCTTAAAAATTTAAAAATTTACATTTTGACCCATATACACCATATTATTATAATAATACAACACAATTCAATAAAATACAATATAACTTATACAATACAATACATACAAACTACCACAACATGGCCGTAACACGTTTCTAAATACTTTCATTCAAAAAAGAAAAAGAAAAAGAAAACGTGTCTTAAAAAAAAAAAAAAAAAGCAACACAAGGAAAAAAGAAAAAGTAAAAAGGGAAAGTGGTTGTTACTGGTCCACAGGGTGCTCTCCGGCTTGTGCGTTTGATGAAGTCAAGTGACTTGTTCATATTCTATTGGTGAAAACAGAAAAGAGGAAAAATGAAAAAGAAAAGGAAAATAAACAAAGAGAGATATATATATATAAAAAAAAAAAAAAAAAAAAAAAAAAAAAAGGGGGGGGGTAAACTGTTTTTTTTTTTTTTTTTTTTTTTTGGAAGAAGAAAATTTCATTTCAAAATAACATAATTACATACATAAAATTAAAATGGTCGCAGCTGTCAGCTTATCGCCCTTTGTTATAGATCATATCATATATATAAAGAAACATAATTTGTTTTTTGGAAAGGATATAAAGAAAACAATAATACATGAAAGATTTTGACATTTTTTTTTTTTTGGCTAAAGTAAAAACCGGGTTTTACAACTCCCAGCACAGTAGATTTCCAGCAATTTCCTTATCAATCAATCAATCATTCCCAGAAAAAATAAGGTGGATCAACGGTCACTATTAATTCAATAAAATAAATAGATTAATAAAGACCTTCATTTAATTAGCACTCAACAACCTGGCTAAAAAAAAAATAAAAAAAATAAAAAACTATGAAAAAGACTCGCGCGAAGGTCCAACCAGTCACTATAGCCATGCAAATTGCATGACGAACCACGTCTCATCTACCATTATACGTTATGTTACGCTCCTCTACTCCAAAGCTCCTAACCTTCCCTTAGAAGCCCTTCTTCACAGAAAAACCACCATTTTGTTGTCATTTTTTTTTCCTCTGGAGAGCCTCGATCGGAATCGGAAACCCGAACCGATGGAGAACCCAATCCGGTGGACCACCGTATGGGTGGTGGCATCGTGGTACGGCTCCAACATCGGCATCCTCCTCTTGAACAAGTACTTGCTGACCGGATTCGGATTCAAGTACCCGGTGTTCCTGACCCTGTGCCACATGGTGGCCTGTGCTTCGCTGAGCTACGTCGCCATAGGGCTGGCCAGGGTGGTCCCTCTGCAGGCTATAAAATCCCGGTCGCAGCTGGGCAGGCTCGCTGCGCTCAGCGTCGTTTTCTGCTACTCTGTCGTCTGCGGGAATGTGTCGCTTAGGTACATTCCGGTGTCGTTTAACCAGGCAATCGGGGCGACGACGCCGTTTTTCACGGCGGTGTTTGCGTACCTGATGATCCAGAAGAGGGAGGCTTGGGCTACTTATGCCGCGCTTGTGCCTGTTGTTGTTGGCGTCGTCATTGCTAGCGGGGTACGCACGTAATTTACTCAAGTCTCATTCCTTTTTTTCCTTCTTTTTTGGTTTTTGTTCCTTTAACTATTTTTAAAAGTTTTGATGAAATTGTTATATATAGATCTTCTTGTATCGTGTATATATACGTATGCGTTGGATTGCTTCGGTCAGTGTTACTGTAATATATATATATATATATAAATATTGTAAATAAGTGTTATTGTATTTTAGAGCTAATTGGTTTGGGGATATAGGGAATTTCTACGTTTACAAGAAAATTTCCAATTAACATTTTTTTTTTGTACATTTTGTTTTTAACTTTTTATGAAATAACCTTGTATTCCAAATAACCCCAATGCACCTTTTTTTTTTCTTTTGAATATAGTGAACACACCTGAAAAAAAAAAAAAAAAAAAAAACAATATTATTAAATATCAAGGACACGAAAGTTAAGAGATGCAAACAAAGAGTAAACAATTATATTATATCTTGTCATTTAATGGACTCGAACATTAAAGCGTGGAAAATCAATCAAAAAGCATTTCAATTTTTTTAAATAATGACACCATTTTGAACTCCAAACTTGATTAGGGGATATGAGTCCTAAAAACCGTCATCACCTATTCACCTATACATATATCATACCTAATACTATAGAATTCATCTTTAAATTAATTAGTAGATTCTCTTAAAATTAAATTGGTTTGAACCAATTAGCGATAAATGAAAAGTTGACACAACTAAAAGCTTAATTTCTTTTTTCAGCGAAAAAAGGGAACATCAACTAAGTAATAATTAAGATGATTATTGGGATTTTTGCAAATATAACAAAATTTCAATAGTAGAGTTCAAATATATCAAAATTTTTAAAATATTATCAGAATAACAAAATTTTGATATTGTTAAAATAATAATATTATTATGCTGACTATGTCATTTTTACTATATTTATAATATTCTGAAAATTTTGTTAAATTTCAAAATGTTTTAACCACATAAATCTGTATTCCGTTGGTGGTCATAGGCTGAACCGAGCTTCCATCTGCTTGGATTTATCATGTGTGTTGTGGCTACAGCTGCAAGGGCATTTAAGTCGGTGCTTCAAAGTATCTTGCTATCCAGTGATCAAGGGTATTAAGTATTCTCTTCTCTCCTCTCTTTTTTTTTTTTCTTTTTTTTTCCCCTTCTTATTCATATTCTCCCTTAAAAATGGGCATTTGACCATAAGATCACCTTAATTAGGTACCAAAAAAAAAAAAATGCTACCAACTCAACTTGATACTATTAGGCCCTGTTCGCTTCGTGGATTCGAGTTTTTAATTTGAGCTGAGATGTGACATTTTCTGAGAGCTTTTAATTGTAGCAAAAAAAAATTATATGTGACATTTTCTGAGAGTTTTTAACTGTAGAAAGTTAAAATTAAAAACTCGAATCGGTGAAATGAACGAAGCCTTAGTACATTACTATAAGTAATGGAACATTATAAGACTTAAATGTAATTTTCAATTATATATTCTCCTCCAGGGAAAATCTCAACTCAATGAACCTGTTGTTGTACATGGCACCAATAGCCGTAGCATTCTTAGTTCCTGCAACAATGTTAATGGAGAAAGATGCCCTCGAGTTCACAATAGACATTGCCAAAAAAGATCTTAAAATAGTGTGGTATTTGCTTTTCAATTCCTCATTGGCATATTTTGTGAATTTGACCAACTTCTTGGTCACACAACACACCAGCGCTTTGACTCTCCAGGTAATTTATTTACAGCATTCATAATTTGTACAATATTGAGCCATAACATTTGTGATCATGAATTGTTATATATTTAATCACCAATAAATTTATTTTTGCTGAAATTATCTATGATCTCCACTATTTAAGTTCGTGAACAAATAAAGAAAATGTACAAAACTCAACGTATATAACAAAATTTTGAACTCAGATAAACTGCTGATACCATTGTATATATAACCAATTCTCCCAAAACTTCTACAAAACAAACGGAAAAACTGTAGAGTATTTTCCGTACCTTAGCATTAGAGCTCCGTATTTAAATCGTATCTGTATCACATTAAATTTTGCACGTTTTTTTTTTTTTTTTTTTTTTTTTTCATTTTAACGTGATTTTGACTAAATATAATCTGACATTGACCTGGTAATATAGAACAATTACATCCTGGTACTTTATGTTTTACCAAATGACTGGATTGGTATAATACAAAATGGGTACCCCGTACTTCAAAAACAAATGCGAAGCACCCCAAATACATTTTTTGAGACTTTAAAAATGTTTTGGAGATTTATAGGGTAGGACCTGAAAGAAAAAAAATGCACAACTAGTAAGTTTTTTTTAACGGTAAGATCTGTATAAAAAACAATCTATTATACATATTATTTTTAATTTTAATGTGACTTTTTTGAAGCAATTTTGATGTATTTTTTAAAATTCAACTATCAAAACATGCACTATTAGTATAAACCCCTACTATAGAAAGGCCACATCTCCTTCATCCTTTACATAAAAATACTCAGTTAATTTTTGTAATATATGACAGTTTAAAAATATATATGTTCTCTATTCAGAATGACGTGGTATTTTATTTTTGTAAAAAAGGGCTCTTTAACATGTTTTTAAGGCTGAAAGAGTATATCTATTATCAAATCTACCTAGTATTATGTATTATCTATCTATCTATTACTATATTAAAAATGAGAATTCGTTTTAGTACTATTAAATATCACAGTTCAATTAGTATTTTGTCTTTTAGTGTATTGTGGCTTTTTTTTTAAAAAAAAAAAAAACTTTTTTACCTTATCTTGTAGGAGACCATCATGCATTTGGTCGTTTAGTTCTTTTTCCCCTATAATCTTCTCAAATATAAATAAAGTATTTGATTTACTGTTTTAATTTTTTTTTAAAGAAAATTTATATCTTATATTTAAAATTTATTTCATTAAAAACATACTTTCATTTAATTTGTTCCTATAAAAATAATTAATCATATAAAATATTATTTTATTAAATGTGATCTATATACTTTCATTTAATTTGTTCCTATAAAAATAATTAATCATATAAAATATTATTTTATTAAATGTGATCTTTAAAAATATACAATTTTGATGACGCTGCTTAAATAAATTTCCCTATTTTAAATTTTTTTTCCTCAAATGTAGCTCTTCTTAAATCCATTTTTCTTGTCATTTCTTCTACTATTTTCACTTTTAACTTTTTTTATCCCTATAAAATCTTATTATATTTTTTCTTACGATTCTCTACGACATTATTTTTCCAGGTAATGCCTTCACGAATATCTTTTTGATAAAAACTTTTATTTAGATTCATATACACGTTTAGAAAATCTCTATGATATTAATCTTATGAGAAAATAGTTAAAAAAAAATTTCGGATTTTTAGGCTTTTGTTTTCTTATTAATTTTGTTAACTATTTTACTAAACTCTCCAGGGAATTATAAAACTAAAAAATGAAGTTAAACTCTTTGGAGTCCGGTATAAAGGCACATTTCCAAACATTTTCAGATGATCAATTTTTCTTCTATCATTTTCGTGAGTTAGGTTGTAATGTTTACACATTCGAGTTGATTAATTTTTCTTCTATCATATTCGGATCCAATTCAATATTTTTGTGTTGCTAATTTCTATATAAATTCAGTCACATTATTTTTATATAATTATTTTGCTTTATAGTTATATTGATCACGTTATTTTATTAGTAGTATTTTACTGCAATATAATATGCGGTAATTGTTCTTTTTGAATTTCTGATAAGAATAATTGTTGCTAGTTTTTAACGTAGGAATTTAAATCTCCTCGAATACATTTTTTTTTCACATTAGGATATGAAACTTTCAATTGAGTTAATTAATTGAATATTTTACAAAATAGCTTGAATATTTTGGATGACATTTTTTTTTCAAGTACGTTGTATTTGATTTATTTAATCCTTGTGGTAATCCACTTAATTGAACGAAACACATTAGGTGGTAAGAGGTAATTTTCCATGGTATTACATATTTTTTTAGTAGTTTTCAACTTTTTCAGGTCCTGGGAAATGCAAAAGGCGCAGTTGCTGTGGTTGTCTCAATATTAATATTCAAAAATCCAATCTCATTCATTGGGATGTTGGGCTATGCAATCACCATCTTTGGAGTCGTTCTCTACGGTGAAGTCAAGAAGAGGTACAGCTAATAGTTTGAAAACTCTAAAGTCAGGTTTAGTTTATGGATTCACAATTATGATTTAGAATTATTCTTGGTTTTTTGTGTATTTTTTATAAGAAAAAATATTATAACAAACCACGAACTATGATTCGAATCACAGTATGAATCCAACAACCAAACGCAAACTAAATCGCTATTGGAGGACGGTGGTTTTTTGTGTATTTTTTATAAGAAAAAATATTATAACAAACCACGAATTATGATTCGAATCACAGTATGAATCCAACAACCAAACGCAAACTAAATCGCTATTGGAGGACGAAAATAATAGATGATTCAAGCACATTTTTCTCCTGCCGTGATTTAATTCAGTTCCTGCTGAGCGCACCATTTTATATTTAAAGCATTGTAAAGTAAATACTCGTAAGACAAGAATTTCATCCAATGCGGCCGCTTCACAAATTTTATGGTTACTAAACGCATCTCTAACTATGTTAATCATTTTATATTTTTAATTAAAATAACTACTAATTTAGTTCTGTTATTTTTTTTTCTTTCTTTTTTAGTTTTTCTTTGCTCCAACTAATAATTTAGTCTCCAAAATAGCTAAATGATTAGCTATTTTAGATAATACATTTCATTTGATTTTTTCTATTATTTGATTTTTTCAAATCATAATAAATGTAAAAGTTCTTTTTAAATTTAACAAGTTATTTATATTTTAAATTAATTAATATTAAAATAATCTATTTTTAGTTAAAGTAATAAGTATAATTAGAGTGCATCACCCAAAAATTATTAGCTAAAATGACTTTCTAGTTATTTTAGTTAAAATTTAACTAAAACTTAGTGCATCTCCAAGGAAAATTTATAAATTTTAGTTAAAATAGCTAAAAAGTTATTCTAGCTAGCAACTTTTGGGTGAATCACTCCAACCATATTACAGCTTTTGTAAGACACGAGAGTTTTCTTATAGATGATCTAAGAGTTACTTGCTTCGTTGATTCCTGAATATTGAGTATAGTGACAATTTGGTCCTTGAATTTTTTATTCTAGCATATTGGTCCTTGAACTTTTATGTGTTGACAATTTTGATCCTAAAATTAAAATTGAAGATGATTTTGAAAATTTTACCGTAGATGATCGCCTCCTTATTGTATAGTAACTGAAATCTTACAAAAATAGTTACAGTAAGTGCAAAATTTATAGTTTTCAACAGGTTATAAAAATAACAAAAAGAAAATTTTATATATAATGCAACTCTTTCTATAAAATGTAAGTTACAATGCGAAAGACACATGATTATCTTTGTTAAATTTTAGAAATCATTCATCTATTTTGATGTTAGGGACCAATACTGTCGAAAAATAAAATTATTATACCAAAAATAAAAGTTAAGAGATCAAAATATCACCATATTCAAAGTTCGGGAAGACACGAACTAACCGTGCCAATTATCCTGTTACTCACACGAACACTACTTCCTCGAATCTCACGAGTAAAAGCATGTAAATTTTGTAATTTCTAAAGATTTTTCACTCTAGGAAAACTTTAATATTATTTTGGGGATGCAAAGAGGGTTTGGTTAGTGCAATTCTTTGTCGGATCACACAACCTTTTTACTGCTTATTTCTCGATGTCATTATAGCGGGAATTCCTAATTGTTGTATGAAAGTTGTGTTGTCGTTTAAAACCTCAAGGAAATTGTTGAAATTATGTTTTATTACAATTTATGTTTGGCCAAAATATCCGCACACGTTTCCGTTACACTTACACTGTTAGATAAATAGATCACAAGATATGGTGACAATTATTCCTTTTATTCACTTGATCTCCCCAAAACTGAAATACAACGTATAATATTTAAAAAAAGAAAAAGAAAAATCGCTTTTAAGGGGCAGTCAAATTTTATGACTATAAACTTAATTACATTGTCCATTTCAATTCTCAAGCATTCTAGAAAACTATAAACCACGTTATATAGCTTTGAAAAGATTAAATTGCTTAGTTTAGATAATTTTACAAGAAGATTGACAGAAATTATTCGAGTTTTCAGTTTTAAGTTTTTACAATAAAAAGCTCTCAGAAAATGTCACATCTAACTTTTTCTACTACAGTAAAAAGTTCTCAGAAAATATCACATCTCAACTCAAATTAAAAAGGGAGAAAGAGGGAAATAGACCAAGACTTGAGATGAATTAAAATTAATAGGCCAATAGTTTACATAAGTTAATAAATAGGCTAAATTACTGTTTTCGTCCATAACTTGTATGGTTATGAACCATAACTTGACAAGTTATTCACGGTTTTTGTCCATAACTTGTCTGGTTATGAACCATAACTTGACAAATTTATCCATAACTTATCTGGTTATGAACCATAACTTGACAAGTTATGGCCTATTAATTTCTATAACTAAAAAATGGCCTATATACTTTCTTAAGCTTTTCATATTGGCCTATTTTCTACTATTTTTCAATTAAAAACTCGAATATGCGAAGTGAACGATGCACTTTCTTAAGCTTTTCATATTGGCCTATTTTCTACTATTTTCCAATTAAAAACTCGAATATGCGAAGTGAACGATGTCTGTTTTAGAGTCCGCATTGTGGTACAACTAGCCAATAGTGCTACTTGAAACTCTCATCGTATCACTTTTGTGTGTGTGTGTACATATATATACATACGATCAATATACATTTGTTTCTGTACAACTAGCCAATAGTGCTACTTGAAACTCTCATCGTATCACTTTTGTGTGTGTGTGTACATATATATACACACGATCAATATACATATTGTTTCTGTGCTTCCACGATCCATGCATGGAATCTCCATCGGCCTACATAAATCACAATCTACTGTCTAGTGTACCCCCTACAAGTGGTCCACTTAGACACCCATTATATTCTTATCTTATGGTTTTTATTCATTTTCCTTTGAAGGTACCAATCACAAGGCATCTTTACTTTGCTCAGTAAGATTCTTATTTCCCCTTGTAAAGGCCATTAGGACCGATAATGTGGCCACACACCAAGAATTGTCACCCACATATGATTCATATTTGGCAATGTGATATAAGATGGCATGATGAAAAGATGTTACTCAAGCTAGCTTGTTTCTTAGCTTTCTTATCCAATTCGCCTTTTGAACAAGCAATTATGTTATTCATTCCATTTTTATACCCACTTTCAGAAAAATTCCCTCTCTTGATAAATGAGAAGAAGGGAATAGTGGAAAGGGCAAATGTGCTTGTAATTAGCCCATCCCAGAGGGAAGACTCTAGGTACACTAACTTTAGAAACCAACGTGCAGCTTCTTGTACTAAAAATAAAATTTCCAAGGTGGGACAATATTGCCATAATTTAACATGTTTGGCACATCAGCAAATAAATAAATAAATACGTATGCATGTTAAGTGGAATTAATACGTATACAAGTCAAGTCTTAAATTCAACATTCAGATTACAATAGAGCTAGAAGTTTAGATCGGACTAAAAAAGTCATATTAAAGTCTATTACTATTAGTTCAATTTGACCAACTTAGTGCATGGGTTGGGTCGGCCCAACCGAACCTCAGGTTAGGTCGGGCAGATAGTCTAGACCAAAAAATGTTTTTAGGATGGGCCAAAGTTCTTTATTTATTTTTTCTACAAAAAAAATACCTTATAAAGGTTGAGGCATCCTTAGCTTGTCGGGCTTTAGAGCTGGCTCATTCTAGCCCTAAATCTCATTCGAGCTGCCGGACAGTCTAAATTTTTAGCTCTAGACTTAAAACAGTACCCTAGTGGCAACTTTTTTGCTGTAAAGTGATTAATAAAACAAGAAAACTCTAATTAAGAAAAATAATTAGTATATAGTAATTAGTAATTAATTATATATAATTACTATGTTAATAATGTACTCATATTTATTAACTTTTAGTTACATAATTAAATAATTAGTTAATTAATTACTAATATTTACTTAATAATCTATTATTTGATATATCACATGATCAATTTTTAGTAATTATTCTTTTTATAATGATTAATTACTAATTATCAATTATTAGTTATTATTGATTAAAATATTACATATTGATAATTATAATTTAATATTAATTATTAATTGAGTAATTACTATTTATTTTTTATTTACCAACTATTTACTAATTAATAGATTCTAATTAACATTATATATGAATAATATATTAATTATTAATTATTTATTTAATAACCTATTATTATTTATTTTATTGTTAATATGTTATATAATTAATTTTCGGCAATTAATCTTTAACTAAATAAATAATTATTATATCATTTTTATTTTATTAGCAAAATTAAAAACTTAATAGTAATTATATAGTAATTAATATATAATATAATTAGTAATTAATAATTAATTATTTAATATAATTTTGTTGATAAGTATTAGAAAATGAAAACGGAAAAAGAAAAACAACTTTCAAACATTTTTTACTTTTTTCACGAAAATCATTCTCATTTATTTTTTGTTTCGTTTTCGTTTTCAAAACTTTTATTAAACGAACGCGATTTATAGACCGTTTTCGTGTCTTAAAAGACGGGCAAAAATATTTTTAAAAAGAATTCTAAATGCACCCTAAATTTCAAGGCAAGGGGCCGACAACGCCTGGAGGCAATTTGAGAACTCCGACCATCCCACCTCTTTCACCTTTTTTTTTCCTCTCTAGGGCCTAAGCTTCTCTTACTTTTTGACAAAGGTGGATTGAAATGGAACTGTTTGAAACAGATATTCAATCTGTTAAGATTCAAAGCCATATTGATTACACAAAAAAAAAACGTTTACCTTAACTTTTTAGTGTAAGCACATGGGGTAAATTATCTTCTTCATCCGTAGAACTAATGAACTATAGCTGTATTCTAAGATGAAGATCCATTTTCTCCTATAAAAATGATTTGTCTCATTTTTTTTTTTTCCTTTTCTTTAAATAAGAAACGTTTGTCTCGTTAGTTGTTACATTTGTCTCTCTTTGACTTTGGCAAATGCTAGCTACCCACGGGGACAAGAACGTATCAATCTACATTCTGCTGACGTGGAGTTTCTGACAAGAACAAAGATGCATCGCAAACAAACACCACCATTAATAGAATGTGAATCTCACTTATAAGTCTTAAATTATAGAATTTAAATTCTATTAATGAATTGTGCTGAGTATCACTCATGCTTAATAGCATTATTCACTTTAATTTACAACCTAACAAAAAAAAAAAGGATGAGAAACAATTGTTCTTTTGAAGTGTAATTTTTGAGTTGAATTTGAATTATAACTTGAGTTGAAGTTATAACTTGAATAAAGTTAAGTAAAGTTGAATAAATTTAAAACTTAAAAAAATATGAACTTAAATAAAATTGAAACTTGAATTATTTTTTTTTAATTTTTTTTTTTTTTGACAAAAAACGACCCCAGAATATTTTCAAGGAAAAAAAACAGAGAAAAAAAAGGGATAAAAACGACCGCACGGAATCCATGATTGCAATATGCAAAACGGTCTAAAAAGGCAGGTTTCGTAATGTAAATGAGGCGGCCAGGAATGTGAGTGACGAAGAAGAATAGCACAACAAGCAGAACAGAATCATAACAGAGTAATAAAATGCAAAGTAAAATATAATAAAATAAAAAAGAAAAAGACCCAATTGCGCAAACTGCGATTTGGGTTTTTCATTTCCCGAGATTCTCGATTTCCAAAACCCAATTTGGCTTCTTTCTTTTTTTTTTTTCCCTATAATATAAAAGCCCTAATAATCTGCTTCACGTTTCACTCCTTCGAACTCGCATTGTACTTCTCTTTCTTTCTCTCTTTGCGTTCGCTCGGTCATCATCTCAAATTCAAAAATGGTGGCCGATCAGAAGGCGAAATCCGACATCTCTTTCGCCGGAACTTTCGCGAGCAGCGCTTTCGCGGCTTGTTTTGCGGAGGTAATAATACTGATCAACCAATCAACTAATTTCATCTGTGATCAAACTTTGAGAAAAACTCTGAAATTGCGATCACAGTTCTCTTTTTTGAGTTGTCAAGTCATTTTCTGTTTGTTTGGACAGAATTTCACGTGTTTGTTTGGATCTTTTAGCTTTGTGATCTTTGAGCTTTTTCGTTGTGTTTTACCCCGTACGTTTCATGGTCAATGACCAAGTTTTCCTTTTTTTTTTTTTAATGTGATTTTACTTTGTAAGATTCCATACATATGTAGAATTGCGCATAGTTGGTTTTTCTGAAATTTTTTGCTATGCATCTGTGAATTGAATGTTTGAATAATTTGTACATGTGGGTGTTATTTTCTAAGCGAATACGAGAATTCGAATCTCTCTCTCTCTCTCTCATACAATTTAGGTTGTTGTGATCATGTGATCTTGTTAATGGAATATTAATGCGAATTGGGAGTGATTCATTGGATGGTAGTTCATTCGAGTTGAGATGATCTGATTAAATTTCAAATCAATTAAGTTCGATCCAAATTGATGGTACATGCATACTTGAATTGCTTCCGGGATGTTCAAAAAAACATGTTTGACATCGAAATGTTATTGCACTTTATGGGTTTTACTGGAAATGGACATCATTTAGCTTGATGCACGGTGAAAACTGAAAGCATTTTTCTTGTTATTCTAAATAGCCTTTTAAGTATCAAGTGGGTTATAAAGCTCTAAAAAACCTTTCTTATTATTTTTCAGTGCTGAAATTTACTTTGGGAAAACTTTAAAGGTGAAAGTTTCGGCTTTTTGAGTGTTATGAAAAACGATTGAGTTCCAAGTTCTGATTACTCTACTCTCTCTCTTGTGATTTTTTTCTCTTGGTGCAATTCATCTTTTATCCTGTGCTTGAACTTGATGCAGATTTGTACTATTCCTTTGGACACTGCTAAAGTTAGGCTTCAGCTCCAAAAAAAAGCTGCTGCCGGTGATGGAGTGGCCTTACCGAAATACAGGGGCTTGTTGGGCACAGTTGGTACCATTGCCAGAGAAGAAGGTCTAACAGCACTATGGAAAGGAATCGTACCAGGATTACATCGTCAGTGCCTGTTTGGAGGCTTACGAATTGGATTATATGAGCCTGTAGGTGTTTTACTTTTTCTCACACATTAATTCTTAATGAAGTTTATAATCTGAATGTTTATTGTTATCTGACGCGATCAAATGAACTGTGTGCTTGACAGGTTAGGAATTTATATGTAGGAAGTGACCATGTCGGAGATGTTCCTTTATCCAAAAAAATACTTGCTGGATTAACTACTGGTGAGCAACGTTTTGCATGCTTAGTTTCAGAATAAAAATTGTGTGCTGACCCTGAATTTATTTGTTTATTGCATTTTACCATTGTCTGTAATATCAGTGGGTATTTGTCTTCCACTTTGGAGTTGGTTCTTTTCTCTTTTCTACCTAGGCTTAAGAAAGATAGAAGGATAGTGATACAGACAGTGTTATGAGATCTCTTATATTATTTCTGTCATGTGGATCCTCGTCTTCCAAATAGGTGCTCTAGCGATTACAATTGCCAATCCAACTGATCTTGTAAAAGTCAGACTTCAATCTGAAGGAAAGCTCCCTCCGGGGGTGCCACGACGCTATTCTGGTGCATTGAATGCTTATTCAACTATCGCTCGACAGGTTATCATTTGAGCTCCACTTCAAGAAAAAAAGGCAATTTAGCTCTAGCAATTTTTGTTTCTATGCTCTAATTTCATTTTTTCTGACTTGTTTCTGTCTCTTAGGAAGGAGTTGGGGCACTTTGGACTGGGCTTGGACCCAACGTAGCGAGAAACGCTATTATTAATGCTGCTGAGCTAGCTAGCTATGATCAAGTGAAGCAGGTACCTTTTCTATTCTAGAACTCTTCCTTTTCTTTTGTGATATAAATGATTTCTCTGTTTCTTAATATGTCTTTTCAATGCAGACAATTTTGAAAATTCCAGGGTTTACAGATAATGTTGTCACTCATATTCTTGCTGGTCTGGGGGCAGGTTTTTTTGCTGTCTGTATTGGGTCGCCAGTTGATGTGGTAACGTATCTGCATTAAACATTTCTCATTTGGGCAGTTGCTTCTTTCTGCTGTCCATTTGTTGTTAACTTGAAACATATGGTGTATCGGTTGTTGTCCAATTGCTTGTTGCTGGTTTAATTTATTGTTTGGCTTTTCTATTTTCGTTTTCCAGGTCAAGTCAAGAATGATGGGTGATTCTACTTATAAAAGTACACTTGATTGTTTCGTCAAAACTCTGAAGAATGACGTATGTCTCCTTTATTCCAACACTTTTTTTTAGCAATTTCTGTTTACTTCTTACTATAATTATGTTGTATAATTCAAGCAATTAAGTTGGGAGTGTTTTTTCTAAAGTCATCTACTGCTTTTAAGCACTTATGTATCTTTATTTTGAACTTTTCAATATATGTTAAACATTTTTTTTTCTCTTTTTCTGGTCACACGAAGACCTAGTTAGGTCCTCATGTTCTAAACTTGTGTTTAGATAAGAACCGGAAGCATCATTAAAAAAGAATGTTGAACTCAGCTTCTGTGGTTTGCAGGGACCTTTAGCGTTTTACAAGGGTTTCATACCTAATTTTGGACGGCTGGGATCATGGAATGTGATTATGTTTCTAACGCTAGAGCAGGTATGAATTTAATCTGGTTGCTCTTGGTCGCAGTGTGATAATCTTCGCCCTCATGTTCTCTTTATAACTATATTCCGCTTCCTAGCAATGAGGAGTTAAGCATCAATCTTGTATTTTTGTAATCGGACCAAAAAATTATTTCAGGTTGAGATACTTGTGCATCAGCATATATTGATCTTCAATTAGTTAAAAGTACACTAGAACTACTGAACCAGTTGGTGGAAAAAAACTGAACTAAAGTAGCCTGATTTTTTTTTTTAATGGCTTTCTCACTTACTATGTTGTTCTTTTGATGACAGGCTAAGAAATTCGTAAAAAGTATAGAGTCATCTTGAGCTCTGAGGAGATAATCTGTGCCTACAATTTGGATTTGCCAAGGGTTAACACCTACATCAAAGTGGAACTTTCTTTTTAAAGGAATAATAAAGCCTTTGACTTCCTCTCGTTTTGCAAAGAGAGGATTAAAAGTGATAATTATTGAAATCATAAGCTCAAAAATAATTGTCATTTCATTCGTGGGGATCATAATGTTTTAGTTGTCAAGACTTTGATGGGTTGTAGAATCCAAAATTTTTCTTGAAGTTCTCTAATTGTTGTCTTTTCAGGGAAACTGTTAATTATTGAGCTCATTTGCTCAAAATAAGTGTAATTAATTTTGGGAAATATGGGGATTTCCCTGTCAAGACTTTGATAAATTGTGGAAGCCAAATTTGTTTTAAGTTTCTCTAATTGTTGTGTCCCTTGCTGATATTTTTACCAGCCTTGACACGACAATCACTCTCTATGATTGATGTCCAAATAAACCAAGGTTTGTTTGTTTATGAGACTTTTTGCCCTTTAGGAAACAATTTTCCAACATTACAATTTAGACAGGAAAACTAAGGTAAAGGAAACAGGAAAAAATATAAATTAGAAAAAAAAAAAAGGACGAATGAGGTGTAAACTGTGAAAAAAAGGACCAATGAGAAGGTGTAAACTGTGAAGAGAATCATGTTGGTTGTTGGGCCCCCCTTCTCAACCATTTGCATTTTTTTTTTTTTTTTTTTTTGAAAAACTGTAGGAATGGCATTAAGGAAATCAGTACACAAGAAGCTGGATAACCAGCAAGGGAGGGAATCAGTCCAAGTGGCTGAATCTCCCGCCAATAAGCCAACTTTGGCTAAAACATGTGCAGCCCCATTAACAGAACGGGGAGCAAACTTACAAAGGCAATCCATCTCATCAGAAATATTACAAATATCAAAAATAAGGGCAACATGAGAACCCGAAAAACAATTGACTAGCATCAGTTCCTGCAACTTTAACCTTCCAGTTATTTGCCGCTGCAAAAAGAGCAAATCATCACGCAGGGCATGGCATTCAGCAACAAAAGGCGAACAGACCCCCTCATGGCGCCTAGAGAAAGCACCCATCACCACTCCGTTGCCGACGCGGATCACACCCCCCGTAAAGAAGAAGTCCTGAGAGTCTTTCACTGCAGCATCGACGTTCAGTTTAAGAGTTCCAGCTGGGGGGGCCTCCCATGTGGAAGGAGAAGCCGGTCCGATTGTAGCAGGGGCTGAATTAATAACTTGGCACTTCTGGAATTCTGAAATTAGGAGGCAGGCGTTTTCCAGTCTCTCAACAGGCTTAATGGTATCATTGAAAGCTGAATCATTCCTATTCCTCCATATGCCAATTGCTTCTTTTTTTTTTTTTTTTTCCATCATCTTCATGAACTTGAAATTCTCATTCGTATTGGTTATAGTTGCATAAAAGTAAATAGGAAATATTATACTGACATTCTTTTAATCTACAATTTTGATGAGATTTTAGTGTGAAATTTTTCTTTTTTTTATACCGTTTGGAGCCTATGACTCCCGTTTACTCAAGAAATATTAATCATTAGAGTTCAAACCTTAGTGGACACACAGCACACATTCACGCAATTGCTAGATTTTAGTGTAAACTTTTTTAAGTTTAGGAGACTGCACTAATGTAGCTAATTCAGTCAAAAAGTGTCAGTGTAATATTATCAGAATTAAGGTGTCAATGTAATTTTCCCAGGGAAAAAAAGGGGAAGTTTTAGCTGAAAATCTCTGATTTTACAGAGAATGCTTAGGACAAGTGATGGTTGATAAGCTCATATAGAATTTCAGTAAGTCTTGACTAAAACTGATTTCGGTAGTAAGGATTTGAAAATAGGTGCCTTGAACTTCGAGTATGTGCTTGAATTACTTGAAACGGAGCTTCATAACTCAAGTTATAGATTTTTAAAGTTCAGTTAATAAGTGCAGGAAAATTATACAGGAACAAGAATTTTCAGTCAGTTTTGACCTGTTTTTAGAAGCTTTAAAAGAACCAAAATAAGGCTTTTGATAGCTTATTGGAAAGGTCTCTGAGTCTAAATAATGGCGAGACAGGTTTGGTAATTTTTGTAGTGGCTTAGAATATTTTATATATATTCCCATAAGAGGTGTTGAACTATTTTTATGTAGGAAATGAGAAAATATTAGGTGCGTTTGGAAAAATTTCATGCTTTGGTCTCCCAAACCCCAATAAAACTTTTCAGTTGGAGATAAGTATTATACTTAAAACAATGTTTATTCATTATCTCTAACTCCTGCAACTTTTTTCTTATTATTATTTTTAAAGTTTCACCTAAACCTGAAAAAAAAATTCAAAGAAAAAAAGTTTTTCTAGCAAAACATGTCAGTAAAAACGGTTTATAGTACATAATTATTATTTAAATATAGTGTAACTATTAGATATTAATTAATAGGTCTAATATATAATCTCTTTTCAGGCCCCTGCTTGGCTTGAGCCGACTCTGCACATATTAAACAGTGCATGTAAAACGTGACAAAAAAAATAATATTAATATTTCTCGTAGAAAATTGTTTCATACAGAAAAATTGTCGCCTAAATTGTAGTAACGATAAACATGGGACCGTTTAGGGTCCTTATTAACTTCCGTAACGTAGGAACTTGAAATTCGAGTAAAGTTTTGGTAAAGTGCTAAGATTTTAGAAAAGTTACGTGATACATGAGGCCTTTTTTTAAAAGAAAAATTACATTTTATTAAAATATTGATAAACAATCATCTTGTTAACCCATTAGAGGGACAAATGCATGCTTGAGGCCCGAAACTGAAAAAACACATCGGCACACTAATAACAAGCGGACTGAAAGCTCGACTAGAGAAAATTCCTCTCTTCAACATAAGCTATCGAGTACTGGAGGGACATATCGTCAAAACTCACAGAAAATGGGCATCTACACAACATAGAAAAAATTCTAACCGGACCAAGACCACCCTATCGGCATTAAGGCGAACACTTAAATCTAATAAAAAACAACAAATTAGACGAGAGTCGGGTGGAGAAACCACCAACCTTATTACAAACACAAAAGTGACAAAAAGAAAAAAAAACATCTGACCACCACCGGTAGAAACCTCCAGTGAGGGGCGTCCAACCAAAGGACCATCGAGAAAGTTAGCCAGTGAAGAGATCTTAGCTACCAAATAAAAAACTCCCCTGAGAGATACATGAGGCGTTTCTATACGGAAAGTTAAGCTGTAAAATATTATTGTTACGTTTAATGTAACATAAGTTACGTCGGCATTTGTTCACATAAATCCATACCAAAACTAAAATAATTCATCTAATAAGATATATGGACAATGGCGGAGCTAGGATTTTGATTCAGGCACATAAACTAAAAACTTGAAAAATTCTAAAACAAATCAACTCATAATATTTTTAGATGAATAGTATATATAGACTATTAAACATACTTGGGTAATAAAGATTTTAGCAAGTAAATTAAATAAGAAAAAGTATTTAAGAGATACATAGTACCTATGAGAAAATAGTAGCTACGAGTGCCAGAAGGAGAAAAAAAGATCTTTAAGTTTAGAGGACACATTTGAATAAATACATATTATTTTAACAAGAGTAAATTAGAGGAATGTGTGTGTGAGAAAATCATAATTGAGAGGTTGTTTGAAAAAAAAAAATTCTTAATTAGGGACACGTTTTGAGAAAAGTATTTTAATGGGTCATTTTTTATATAGCTTGAATTATATTTAAAAATATTTTAGAAGGAACCAATTTGAAAGAAAACTGTGTTCATAAGAATAAATTATAGAGAAAAATCAATTAGTTACATTTTAAAGTATAAGATTTAATAAGAAAAAACTAAAAGAACAATAGAAAAAAAAATTATTTGAGATTGAATTTTGTGAGGATATATTTAAAACTTTTATTGATAAAGGGGGCATATATGAAAAAGTTTTGAGAAAACATATACTAAAAGTCAAATATCAAAAATCCAGGGGCATATGCCCCCGAGCCTCACGGCCCTCACCTCCCTCCGCCACTACATATGGACCATTTCTTGTGAGCCCATGGAAACATGATCAATTTACAAATATGCCAAGTCCAATACCCGTCCTAAATTGCTAGAACCAGTTGCACACATAAAATGAAAAGAGAGGACTGAAATAGCACAATTAGTAGAGTGGATAGTAAATTATAGCACAATTTTTTAAAACATATACTTTATTAAAAAAAAAAAGGCGGACTCCAGTGGCAAAAAGGCTCCCGTACTATGACATGTTTGAAGGAAAGCTTAATCCCATATGTACGCGGCCTTTACCCCGAAAGAGAGGCCGTTTCCAGGATTCAAACCTTAGACCTCAGGTGCAAACGCAAGAGCTCCCACCACGGTGCCAACAACATTAATATCTTAGGCTTCCAACAACATTAAAAAAAAAATTACGTCTAAGTCAGTCTCTCCTTCCCCTTTTAGTTAGGTCCACCATGGCCGACACCTGTGCATGAGACCAGTAGTTGTCGTCGGCGACCAGTGACCAGCCGCCGTCAACGTCAACAGTGACCGGTGATTAACGGTCAACATCGACAACTGATAAATACTGTATTATCGACAACATTATATTATCTAAAAATTTAGCCACCAGCTTCTACGACTGTTAAATACTGTATATACTGATAAATATTATATTTATTTATAAATATCATATTTACAAATAAATATAATACACCAACGACTAGTGACTTTAAACATTGTATATAAGTGTTATATACGAGATGATAATGTTTAAGGATAATAATAAAAAATGATGTTCGTAATGAATTTAATTAAAGTTAAGAATCTTTAATTAAAACATTACTAATACATGTCATTCCCATTTAGAATGGAATGGTGTTATCCACACTGTTAATATGTCGAGATATTGAATGAGTGTATTTCGCATAATGAGATTATGTAGAACAAGGACACAGACACAAAATGAATTTCTAATAATTTTCGTTAAGTATAGAAATTCTAATTGAGTCTACCGATGGTCATATATAGAATGATCTTAATCCTGAGTTCTTAATAAACTCCTATTTATGGATTTGTGTCTTTTGATTTACTTGGTATGGATTTCGAGACCCTGAATCCTATTCCTTGTATTTTGGAGACATGATGAAGTAGGTAGCTAGGAATGTTATTATACGAGATGAAATTCATTCCTTCTTGAGAAAGAAGCAGATAAATAATTATCTTGAATGTTGATTCGGTACTTGGATTAGTAAGAGCGCTCTAGTTCATGCATCTGTTTTATGAATCGTTATTTATTAGAGAATTAATGGTACTCAATGATGAAGATATAATTAGAGAGGTTAACGGATTTTACCTAGCTCTAAGTAAGGATTATTTATGGAGGATTGATCTATATGCAATGACTATATCAAATGGACACTTCACAGTTTAGAAGTAATTAATGTCTATAATTTTGAGAGTGCAATTCCAAGTTTATAGTGGAGCAACTGTTAGAATTAGTAGAATTAATTAATTAATTAAAGTGTTTAATTAATTATTAATGTTATTGGATTTCGAGATTATAGGTCCATTAGTCTTCGCGTCGTCATAGTAATTATACAAGACACAAATGGCAAAATGAGAATTTTAGAATTACGAAATTCTAAAATTAAACACTCGAAAAATAATTAATTAAGAATTAATTATTATTTAAATAATGAGATTATTTAAATTTGAATTTGAACACATCTAGATTTATCCATTTAAACTTATTTGATAAGTTGTTCAATTTAGAATTCAAATTAATTTAAGTTTGACTTAAATTAGAATTAGAATTTGAATCAAAATTGGACTGCATGATAAATGATAATTTATAAAAGAGTAGGAGATTTTGTTTCAAATTTAAATAGGAAATAATTAACAAGTTTTATCTTGGAGATAGAAATTAGATTTCTTCTAAAAGTTTGACTTTTACTCTATAAATAAGAGAATGATATAAAATTTTTGTATTATTTTAGTCTTTAAACTTTATATATTTCTAATTTTAATTTATAATTTTTATAAATTTTACCAAATATTTAATACAAAACTAACGTAAGGATTGAAATTAAAATAAAATAAAATTTTAGAGATTTGAAAAATCAAAAACTAAAATGAGATTCTACCTAAACTTGATGAACCATCTATAAGAATAACCGTTAACTTAAAATTGATAATTTTTTTTTAAAAAAAATCTGAAAATATTTTTAAACAATTAAAAAAAAAAAACAAAATAAAAAACTCACTCTCTCTCTCCAGAGTCTCTCTCTAAACTCCCGTCGATTCCCTCTCCAAATACGAAGACCTCGCCGCCGCGTTCCTAGCCTCCTCCACCACTGCTCAGATCTCCTACGCCTGCACCTCCATCGACTCGTTCCTGCACTCCCGCTCACCCGACCAGTCCCACCACTTCTTCTCCTTCACCTTCCCAACCCTAATCTGTAAAGCTCTTCGGCTACGACGACGCCGTTTCGTCATCCTCCTCTCCGCCGTCACCAACGTCATCATCATCATCCAACGGCTGGATCGACACCGTCATCGCATACAACGAACTCGATTTGACCAAGAAGGTCTTCGCTTTGCTCGCCCCCGATGGTGTCCTCTTGAGCTCAATCTCGACCGTCGATCGCCTCTCGCTCGTCAAGTACGTCTTCCCCAACTAGCAGTTGCCGGAGTTGGCCCAGTTTGTCCTCTTCTCAGAGAAAGATTCCTGGGTTATATCTGATCTTTGCCAAATTGTAAAAGGTACGGTTAAGGAAGATTCGATTAAGGGTTCTGTTTATCATGTTCAGCTTACTGTGTTTGAGTGTTATCTGTTTTGGTTTGCTTATTATCCTGTTTGTAGAGGAAACAATGCGAATTCTGATAATAATTCGGTAGTAAGAGGAATAGGAGGTTCAAATTGGAGAATTGCTTCTTCCGTTTCAGGGTTCTCAGGGTTGGGAATTTTTTGGTTTCTGAGAGAGAGAGAGAGAGAGAGAGTTTGGAGAGAGTTTGGAGAGAGAGAGTGTGTTTTTTAGTTTAAGTTTTTATTTTTATTTTTAATTGTTTACAAATATTTCAGATTTACCAGTTTTTAGTTAATTAATGTGAAGGATAAATGTAACATTTTATGTCTTTTGAGACGTAAAAAATGACCTATTAGAAAACGATTTTCTAAACATCGAGATATCAATTCAAAATTATAAAAAACAGACGATTATGCTAAAACACAGGCTATCAATATGATATTTTCAATAAAAGGGGCCATTATTGCTGTAACCCCTTTATTCATCTTGTAGTAAAAATTAAATACTTTTGTAGTACTTATTCGGGGTGAGAAAGGAACTGATTTCATTGTTGTGAAATTTGATTGAAAAGTTGAAGGTGGGAGGGGGAAAAGATCGAAGTACAGGTCATATTAAGGAGGAAGATGCTTCAGATCCGGCTTAGCAAAACCCCATCTGTAGATGGTGCAGGAGGGGCGAAGCCCTTGCCGGTGGATACAGTGACCGTGGCATGCCCTGACCACCTAGTTCTTGCTGATCTTCCTGTAGCAAAGGGCATAGGCACAGCAATTGCCGCTTCTCTTGTTAAGACCGTAGGTCGGAGGTCGCGTCGCCAGCTTGGGGAACGAGTCCACTTTTGTGTTCGCTGTGATTTCCCAATAGCAATTTATGGACGCCTGGTATGTACTGTTTGATGTGGTTTTCTGTCTACCTATTTCTGTTAAAACTTATGTTTCTTTGTTGGTTTTCTGTCTTCCTAATTCTGTCTGTTAAACTAAGTTCTTTGAATATTCTTTTTTTTTTTTTTTTTCCACAATCAAAATTCTGACTAACCAATGCTTTCTCAACACAAGGGAGGGTAATATTAAGAAGAGTTTGTAACAAGGGAATTTCTAGAAAATATATTCAAGTAATCTGAGTGCGCTTGGAAATTAGTTTGGAGGTTGATTGGAACATTTATACTGAAAGAAGCTAGGGATGAACATTATATCTAATTTGAGCTTAGAGTTACACTGTTCTTGGACAGTAATTTTCCCTTGTTTCCAGTTATGTAAAATACAAGGTTTCTTTTTTATTTATTCTCTTTAAATGTTTGCAACTGCCTTCTTTGGTTTCAATTTTCAAAATAATATTAAATACAATGAATGAATAAATAAAACTGGGACACATATTGAAAGATGATACGTGTTTTGTCAGTTTGCCCAATCGTGTAATCTTTCCTTGTTTTATTACATTTCAAGGTTCTTCGCTTTAATGGGACATTGGGTTAGGGTGTTGTTCTGAGGTGTAGATATGGCGCTATTTGAGAATCTATTCTGGGAAAAGTGGCTTCTATCTTACTAATATAGCACAAGTGAGAAATGATAGTAATAGTAATACTGTTCTTGTTACCATCTTTTTTTTTTAAGCTTCCCAAAGATTATGTTTTAGAAATTAAATTACGACTATATACGTAGACCTAAATTCACAACTTACGAGCTTAAGTTCTTGCAGAGTCCTTGTGAGCACGCCTTCTGTCTGGATTGTGCTAGGAGTGATTCAATTTGCTATCTGTGAGCTCCCTGAACCTTTTTATATAATTAATCTACAACATCATTCTGCTACCTCTCGTTTTCCTCTTGAGTGCTTTTCTTTTGTTAGTTAGTTGTTGTTGTGGTTTTTTTTATTTTTTTATTTTATGTATATATATTTTTTCATATATTGGCTTGCTGCAAATTTGGAATTTAATTAGTGTTTCGCATGCTGTATTGACTATTGCATGTCACCCTGATGGTTTATGTTGGTTTTGAGGGAGGTTCTCTACAGTCTACCTCTACTCCCCATTGGACGTTACTGTGGCTGTTTGAAAGATAAATGATAGCTTGCGTTTTTTCACTAAATCGATCCAAACAAAGTGGGATAAGGCTTTTGGGAAAGGGTTGAGTTGCAATCTTTTTATATGTTGTCTGGACATTTAACAGTTAGAGTCCAGGTCTGTTGTGCTCTATGTCTGCATGCTACGTACAGAAAGTAAATTAAAATTCAATCATTGGGTAGTGGACACTGCTATTTGGTCTGTGAAAATATTTAGAATAGTTGATTGATGTTTCAATACTACTTGATTGAGAAGAATGTGAAATAATACATAAATAACTGAGAAGTGAGTCGTTTGAAGAAGTAACATTGATAGCTGATGAATCACTTAATGTCTTGCTTTGTAATATTATGTACACAGCTGTGATGAACGAATTCAGAAGATACAGACAATTAAATTGATGGAGGGGATCTTCATCTGTGCAGCCCCTCACTGTCTCAAGTCTTTCTTGAAGAGAACAGACTTCGAGGCTCATATTCATGAGAGCCATGGTGAGCTTCTTCAGTCAAATGTAGAGAGAGAAGATACTAATGAATCGGAAGCTCAGAGTGTCAAACAATCTTCAGCATCTGATACTACGCTCCGAGCGCCGCTCAGGCCGGGCTTCTCTCCTAGTTCGAACTCCCAAGTTCATGATCGAGAAGACAAAACTCGTCGTCAGCAGACTAGAGAACCATCAATTCCTAGGCCAATGATACAGGCCAAACCACCACAAGCTTTTGGGCAAGGACAGAATAACCCATCAGAAGCCCAACTTGACTGCCGACACCAAGGGTTTGATAGGCCTGGTCCTCACAACCCCTTCCAACAACAAAACTTCGACTCACCAGGTGGTCCAAAGCAAGAATCCGGTCTATATTCAGACAAGCAGCAAGGAATTCTGTCTGATACTCCATTTCCCGACTATCCGCCTATGCATGCCTTTCAGCCACCCAACAACTATATGGTGCCGGTCAACTCAAGCCAGATGCTGAATCCATCCTCTGCACCTTTTGGTTATCCTCCTTTCCCAGGTGAAGGATCTCAAGCATTCTATGGTGCTCCCTATGACATGGCTCGCCAAGATTCAGCACCAGAAGTAGGATCAGAACAAGGGTCATTGTTGGGTTTTCCACCAGGTTCTGCAGGGAGCATGAACTTCCCAGCTAACTATCATCAGCCTTGGAACGCAGGACAGCCTGGTATGCCTTTTGAAGCTCCGCATGGAGGTCAAGATAGTTTCACTAACCTCTCAGATTCTCAAGGAAAAGTTCCATATTATCAAGGAGAATTCAGACGGAGTCCAAGGGGATTGGCTATGAATCCACCTCCCCCGCATATGGCCAACAAAGGAATGGAACCAGTGCAGGCTGGTCATTCTGTGGATCCAAGGGATGGAAAGGGTATATTAGCACCACAGCCCCTGCCACTTCCTCCACCTCCCCCACAACCTCACATGTCACAGCCAAAACGCAAGTTTTATTCTGATATGGGCCGAGATGGACAAAGCTACGGATGGCAACACGAGAACCGTGAGAACTATGGTGGCCAAGACTAGTGTAGAGAACATTAGGCCTTTGGATTATTTTAATCCTTTGCGAGTAATATTACTTTTATTTTCTCACATTAACTTATTTCAATTAATCTATGGTCTCCCTCTGGGAGCCTCTTTGGCTTAGTTTTAACTGCGCTTAGCTAGCATATGGCTTGCTTATTCCTGGCCTTTATCTGGAGCAATTTCTTTTTGTTTATTTTTAGGAAAACTTTAAAGCGCATCCCCATTTGTGGGAGCAAGTGTTTTTGACCGTTATATTAAATTTTTAACGGTCAAATCTGTTTAGATTCGTATTAAAAATTTATAGCGTGTCTCACAGAACTACTCTTGTTGTTGGAGCGGATCTACGTCGTTTCATTGCTTTATTAATATAATGGTCACTCAGTACTTGCTTAAGGAGCAAGTTGACGATGTCCCTTTTCTTTTTCGCCAATAAAGCTAACTATTTAATTACTGATGTCCAAGGAATTGAGCGTCACTAGAGCTTCAATAACATTGATCATTAGCATAGCATTCCGCAATCATACAGGAAAAAACAAGTACAACGATTTAGTGGGTATTTTGTGGGTAAATCATTCATCATGTACAAGTAGTTCTCATGGTGAAATTACACAGAAGCAGTGCTGAAACTTTGGACGGGCCGCCCGAGACCACCGAAAAGTCTAAATTTTTGTCTGATGACCGAACCCGATCTGCCCGAAAATGCGGGTTGCCCGACCCGACCCGAAAATTCCCATGGACGGGCTTCGGGCAGAGGAAGCCTGCCTGTGCCTAGTCGGGTTGCCCAATGCCCGACCGGCTGCCCGAAATTTTTTTTTTTTATATTATATTTTTATGTTGTTGAAATAAGTATTTGTATAATTACAATGTGTAATTGTGTATATTACAATTTGAAATATGAAAGGAACACACGACACGAACGAACTATATAAAAAAAATTACTTCTTCATTGATTTTTAAATTTGTAATTCATGATTGCCTCATTAAAAACCTTACCAAGAAAAACCCAATGGGGATAAAAACTTGGTAAGGAAAAAAGAGTGCAATCATTGTGGGACGAATTACAAATTTGATGAACTTACAAAGTCTATACAAGATTACAAATTACGATAAACACTATACAAATTAGAAATTACAAAGTAAATAAATATTTACAAAGAAATTATCAAGATGAAGCAGAAGGCTCATCTTGAAAATTAAAAGTTAATCTATCAAATTCGTCGATCCATTCTTGGTTTGCCAGTGAGATTGTATCGTGTAAGCGTTGGTCGGAACGGTCCCAATCCTTGATGCACACCAAAGCTTCAACAATATCATGCTGCAATGCGTTTCTCCGTTCTTCAAGTATTCGGCCAGTTGTACTGAATGCTTGTTCGGCTGCAACGGTGGAGACCGGGATTGAAAAAATATCCATTGCCAGTCGTGTTAGGATCAGCCAAGTTAATGCTCGTGCCCTCCACCACTCAACCAAATCAACACCTCACTATTGCCTACAACTAAGCCCTCACTCAGGTACGCCATTAACTCGTTGAATCCGCCGCCACCTCTTGATGAAGATCCACTTCCACTCCCAGATTCTTCTTGACCTTGACTCGTCGTCGACGTCTTCTTCTTCTTCTTCTTAGACAATCCGAAAACATTCAAGAATGAATGCGGATTGTCGTCTCGTTGTTGCGGTTGTTCAACACGAAGTGTGTTTCTAAACCTACTTTTGTAAGAGATATATAGAGAATATATTTTTTCCTTTATAATAGGAAACTGGTCAGTAGTGTCTATAGCTAAAAATTCACCTAAGTTATCTAATCCACTTTCTAAACCTTCTAATTTTAATCTAGGGTCAAAAATAACACCGAAACCATACAACATGGGTAATTTAGACCAATATTTCATTAAATTTCTTTTCCATAGAGGCAATAGGAACTCCTAAAACCTCATGTGTCCTAAGTTCACTAAATAAAATAAACATTCTTAAAAGTTCTCGTAATGCTAATGGTGAAGTTGGGTAATAAGTTCCACTAAGCTTTAAGGTAACTTCATGAAATCTACCTAAAAAGTTATACAAAAGTTCGGTAATTTGCCAATCAGTTTCATCTATAAATCTTGTTCCTAATTTTGCACTAACATAATTTGTTATAACATCTTTATAGGGGATGCATTGTTCAAGCATTATGTAAGTGGAGTTCCATCTTATGGGCATATCTAAGGCTAATGTTCTAGGATTTTGATTGCATGCTTGTAGAAATCTAAACCAATCTTGTATTCTTTGATTACTACCTTGAATCCAAGCAATGTTATCTCTAATTCTTTTAATATGACCTGACATTGATTTTAAACCGGACTTTACTATTAAATTAATTATATGACATGCACAACGTTGGTGAAAAATATCATTATTACTAAATAAACTTAAATCATTTTCAAAAAGTTCTATTGCTTTAGTATTCGCAGTTGCATTATCTAATGTTATGGCCATTATTCTATCTCTTAAACTATATTCATCAATAACAGATAAAATTGTGTTATATATTAAATTGGCAGTATGTGATCTTATAACACATTTGAAACCTAAGATTCTCTTATCCAAATCAAAACCTTTATAATAATGTCCGGTTACAGCTAAATAATCCTTGTTGGCAACGGCGGACCAAATATCCGCCGTTAACGCAACGCAACCACTAGTAGAGTGTAGAAGGTTGATTAATGCTTCATTTTCTTGTTTATATAATTTTAATGCATCTTTCCTAAGAGTAGTTCTAGAAAAAAATTGTGCATTAGGATTATGTACAATTTTAATATAACATTGCCAATTTCTTTGTTCAGGAAAACTTAGTGGTTGATCTAATGTGGCTATTAATCGTGCCATTTCCATACGATCAACTTGCGGATCGTATTTCTACGTGCTTAGCCCGCCGGTTTGGCGGTCAAACGATAATTGTGTTTGGCGGAGTTGATCTCCGCCTCCTTGCTTTTGAAGACACTTTTCAAAGTGCCTTCTTAAGTGTGTAGTGCCGTGAATAGTGTTACCTTGTAATTTCTCACCACAATATTTACATTGAGCTACGTATTTAATGTTACCGTTATTGTCGACGTCCTCGAATGTGTTGAAGTGCTCCCAAACTGCTGAGGTGCGCTTGCATTTCTTCTTAGAACTTGCAACACTTGCACTAGCACTACCGCTTGCCTCTCCTCCACGGCCACTTGTGCCACCACCATTGCGTCCCCGACCTCTAGTACGTCCACCAGGGGCCGGCTTTGCAGTTTGATCAGCATCTCTTTCCATAGTTTGCGATTCCTGCGATTGAAAAACATTAGGAAATTGCCATTCTTCGATGTTGAATTGGGCATCAATAGGAATATCACCACCACCACCATAACCAGAAGAAGCCATTATGAAAAATAAGAGAGATTGAGAGCGCTTTGAGAGAGCTTAAGAGATATCTAGATTCGAGAGAGATTTAAGCGAGATTAAGAGAGATTTGAGAGAGATTAAGAGACATTGAGAGAGATTAAGAGAAATTCAGAGAGATTAAGAGAAACTGAGAGAGAATGAGAGTTTTGGGGTGAGGAAAATGGTTGGGGGGAGGGGGGTATTTACAGGAAAATTTTTGGGTTGAAAAAAAAAATTTTTCCCCCAAAAATTCGGGTCCAACGGCTACAAAATTTTCGGGCAGGTCGGGCAAAATTCGGGCAGTTCGGGCAACGGATAAAAATCCGACCGTTTGGTTCAAAAATTCGGGCAAAATTCGGGTTCGGGTTCGGGTTCGGGCAAAATACCGTTTTTTTCAAAATTCGGGCATTTTTGGGCTAACGGTAAAAAAAAATCGGGCATTTTTCAGGCACGGGTCGAAATTCGGGCAACGGTCACAAAAAATTCGAGTAATTCAGGCAGTTCGGGCAGCTTCGGGTATTTGCCGGAAAATTCAAAAAAAATCCGGCGAACGGCGGGAGAGGATTCTCCACGGCGGCGGGCTGTCGAGAGGCTTACCATTTTCGGGCTACCCGAGCCCGTGCCCGAAGAAAAACATTTTCGGGCGGCGAGAGGGGCCTGCCTCCTGTGCCCGAAAATTTTCAGGCATCGGGCATGCCCGCCGCCTGAAAGTCCAACACTGCACAAGAAAATTCAAAAAAAATCCGGCGAACGGCGGGAGAGGATTCTCCACGGCGGCGGGCTGTCGAGAGGCTTACCATTTTCGGGCTACCCGAGCCCGTGCCCGAAGAAAAACATTTTCGGGCGGCGAGAGGGGCCTGCCTCCCGTGCCCGAAAATTTTCAGGCATCGGGCATGCCCGCCGCCTGAAAGTCCAACACTGCACAGAAGTACTTTGTGCTGAATTATTTTTATTTTATTTTTTACTATCCCTTGAAACTTGAGCGCATGATTCAATACATCATTCATTTTCTCAATGTTTTCTTTTCTAGACAATTTTTTTTTTTTTTTTCCTTCTTGAAGTTGAACCAAACAGCGTCCTTAAAAAGGAACTTTTAAATTTAAGGATTGAAAATTAAAAGGACGAAAATCCAAAATTATGTATATTTTGTTTTCCAAAAGAACAAAGAGGCAACATCGCACACTCAACCCATCATGTTGATTCATGGCATTCTTAGCATCGTCGTAAATTTCCGCCCAAAAAAAAAAAAAAACGAACGAAAAGGAGAGTGAAAATATACAGAACTTGAGAGGTTGAGATCAACTTAGTTTTCTCTTTTCCAGAACCCATTTTTGGACCTTGCTGACACACTTCTCATCCACGAAAACATACAGTTGCTGCAATTTCCTGTACTCCAAGATGATATACTTGTCGATATGATCTTCAAATCTCTCATAGAGAGCTGGAATTGTTAAAATAATGACAAGACCTGCCGCGGAGAAAATCACGAATAATGAATCATTATCAAATTCTTTCACATTGATGATCTCTAAACAAAATAAAACACTAAAGTTTAACCGATTATTGAGACTTACTGGTGTAAGCCAAAGTAAGAAAATCAGTCATACGACCAACAAAAGCTATCAGACATAGATATCCAGCTACTTTGAAGAACAACCTCGAGTCTCTACCGAGAGCAACGTCCTGGGAAACTGATAGCAAAGTATTTACATGAGTGCGGATGAATGATGCCGCTTCATTTACCATTTCTTCCGACAAATGCAATTCCGGCAGTGGCGGAGCTGGTCTGTTCAGAATAACAGTGCACTTACTTAAGTGACAATGTTTTAGCATATTGAGATCGACACAAAAGTAAAAAAAGAAAGTTTGTTCTAAGCATCCAAATTCACAATGACAAGAAAGTAACGACAGTTCCAAAAAAATAATTGCTAAACTTCAAGTTAATAGGAAGTAGAATATGAACCAAGTGTTGGCAATATTTGCACTAGAACTACTAATACCGCGAAAAGAAAAGCTAAAACAGAGTTCTTAACCTTCCAGTCAAATCTTGTGAGACACTAAAAAAAAAAAAAAAAAAAGGGTCAATTACTTCTTGCTGTTGAAGACTCGGAGAAAAAAGAAAATGCAATAAACCAACTCTCGACTCAAAGCAATGAAATTTCTCAGACAGTGCCCAACACACGAATTAAATACAGGTAGATAAAGACTATCCCTTTATGATACTGATTCTGATACCATGGCTGATTAATTATTATAACCAATACCCTCCTAATGATGGCAACAAGAACTTAATGAAGAATTCATATGGTAAATTTCTATAGAAATTGAAGCAAGCGTATAAAAGCAGACAAGAAGAGCTCAAATCATATAGGCAAGGAGGCGGCAAATCCTTACTTGTTGAATGGAGTTATACTTTTATTTTCAATATTGGAAAGAAAGAAGGCGTTAAGAAATAAGAAGTGATAAAACTACACAAAAGAGTTAACAATTTAACCGAGGAAGAAATAAATTCTAGTATTATCCCCAGGAAAAACATAGGAAATACATAAATGCTGTATGATAATGAATTCCAGATATCCTCATCTGGAAATGCAGTTTATTATGTCCTTTTGACATTAAAATGCCATCACCTGACAGGCAATTATAGTCAACAAGCACAATTTCTTTTTTTAAATTACCTGTTAAGAATTGCAGCAGATTTTGCCCACAGGAAGAGAATGACAATGAGGAGGAGAAGAACACAAGAGACCAACGACAGCAAAGTATAACCAGATTTCTCAAAAACCACCCAAGCTGCTAGAGTTACTAACAATATCCCAACTGTCTGATTCTTTTGTCTCCACAAAATCACATCTGCAACTGCTTAACCAAACAAAAACTTTTAAGCCTTTAAACACAAAACCTTAGCAATTAGATCAAATAATGCCACTAGATCAAGTAAAAGAGTTTTAATGTGATTAATCTAGAAGTTACCATCATATCAGTGATAAAATAAATAAATAAATAAAAACCACTGACACTTGGAGAACCCAATCTGCAATTTAATGTCAACTGAAGACTGGAGCTTCAATAAATGGACCACAAAACCCCCAGATTTGAAAAGTAAGAAAAATTCACACAATTTGATCGGGTGGACTTACATAGACCTCCTCCGAGGATCTCATGAATTGTTCTTTGCCTGTTAAACAATCGATCTGAGGAACCCATTTGGAAGAAACTACGAAAATTGGAGCTTTAATCTAATTCAGATCTCTAAAACCCAAATAAGAACAATGAAAAGAAAAGGCAGCTTTGAGATGATCTTGAAAACCAAGAAAAGCAATGGCTCTTGGACTTTTTATCCAACTCTTTTTTTTCCCCTGAATACTAAGAATATAATATACAATATAGGAATGACTGTTGAAAGGTATGGTTGGTTGGGTCACAGCTTCCAGCCTAAAAGCGGCATGCTACTCATAGCTTTTCTCGCTTTTGATCTATTCATCTTTTGTTTTCTCCCACCATATTCACTGTAATTATGTGTAACTATATATATATATATATATATATATATATATTTGCATACATAATGACTGGTAAATTGAAATATGCGTCTATGTATATATACGTCATTTACATGTTTAAGAAGAGAGAAAGATAGAGAGAGAGAGAGAGTCGGAACAAGGGAGAGAATGTTTCTTCCGTTTTACTTTTAGTGACCGACCATTTGAACTGCTTGCGCAGGTTGGCTGTCTTTTTCTTACCATCCTTGTCGAGCTCCAAGGGTATTGTTGTCACTCCAATGGTATTTTACCCTTCTGCGAGGGTATTATTGTCCTTTACAGTGGTTGCTGGGACGGCATTGTATGGCCAAGGACAACAATATTCCGTCGTAGAATACTGACCTTCTCGATGCTAATAAAAAGAAAAGAAAGAAAGATGGTACAGAGTCAGAAAAACTAGGCGCCCACCCACAGGTTTCTTTCCATCGGCCTTTTTCTTTGGATGAATAACTCTATTGTACTTTGTTGGATTCAACAAGGTACATTTGTCACCGAAACTTCAACAGTAGAAAAGAGTTGAAAGAAACTAACTAGTGATTCCATAATGCAAGTATCATTCATAAGTAGTGGTGTCAAATGGGCAGGATCGTTCATGAACGTATGGTCCAGCATGTAATAGTGTTAGATTTGGTATATATGATACTGTTACAGGTCGTGTCAGCTCGATACATTTGATGGGCTAGGGTTGGGCCTCAGCTTCTCAGTCCGCGGCCCAAGCCCGACCCTAGCTCGTGAAGGCCTGCGGGCCGGCCCAAGCCCAGTTCAGCCCAAACCCAAATTCGGCTTTTGTTCGACCCGGCCCAGGCCCACGAAAAAGCCCTCCAGCCCTTTTCTGATTGTGACTGTTGGGCCCGCAAAGGACCAAACAGTCACAATCCAAAAAATATCTTAAAAAATTCTTATAAATATCCCTTAATCTCACCCTAAATCTCACACAACAATTTACTCTCAACTTCTCATCTTACTCTCATTCTATCTCTCATCTTGTCTCTTTGATTTTGATTCTAAGTTTTTTTCTTGCGATCATTCAATTTCTTGCTCTTTCATTTACAAAGTTTAAGTTCAATCAATTTTGAGAAAATGACCGCATCAAATTTTTCTGATTTTACTGCTCTTCATAAGCTTGGTGATGAGCTATTTTTCGAGGATAAAATGATGCCTCCCAACCCCACCCCTACTGAACCAGAAATTCTCCGGTGGATAATGCTTCAGTACACAACGAGGAAGTTGGAAAACACACAAAGGGAAAAGACCGCGAACTTCTCATGCATGGCAGCATTTCACAGATGAGCCCCGACCACATCTAAAATTATGTGAAATGAAAATTCGTACGGTATGTAAGTATTGTAAAAAATATTTTTCTAATAAAAATGGTGGGGGTACTGGTCATCTTGATAGACATTGAAAAGTATGTATACCGTTGCACCAAGGTGGGAGTGTGGACTCCCGCTAACAAACACTATCACTCACATCACAAGGGTTGTAAAATTTTATATACGATGAACAACGTGCTCGTGAGTCACTAGCTAAATTTCTAGCTTGTGCCAAATTATCTCTTTTTTTTGCAGATGATGCGTCGTTCAAAGAATTCATACAGACGGCCTTATGCCCGCAATTTAAACAGGTAAGTAGAAACACAACTCATTCTGATTGCATGAAGTGTTTTATGCAATGAGACAATCTCTTGTTGATAATTTTAGGACTTTTAATGCTACTGTATCTTGTACTTCTGATCTATGGTTAGGGTGCAATAAAACTGGATATTTATGCGTCACAGCGCATTATGTTGATGATGAATGGATTTTACAAAAAAAGATAATAAGTTTTCATTTATGTCCATATCCTCATAACGCATCAGTTATTTTTGGTACAACAATGAAAATTTGTGAGTTTTAAAGTTTTAACTATTACTTTTGATAATGCGTCAGCTAACACGGTTGTAATTAACATGTTTAAACGTAGTTTGAAACCATCGTTTGGGGGGGGGGGGATTTTTCATCAACGGTGTGCGTGTCACATAATCAATTTAGTAGTTCAGGTAGGAATTGAACATATTTTAGCTAATCTAACAAATATTAGAGAATATTTATCCTTCATATCTAGTTCTCGAGCTCGGCTCCAAGAATTCAAACAATATTGCAGGAACAATCAAATGCGCAAGAAAGTTCTCAACTGACGTGATACATAGGTGGAATTCCACCTATTTAATGTTGAAGGATGCACTCCCGTATTCACAACTCATCACAACGTATGTAAACAGTGAGAACGATCAACTTTTAATTTTCGATACAAATTGGAAGATTGTTGAGTATTTTTTTAAATTTCTAAAAGTTTTTTATAATGCTATTGAATTACTTTCCGGAGTTTGTTATCATACTGCACATTTAGCTTTACATCAACTATTTAATATTTCAAAAACATTTTCTTATTATAGGGATACAGTACTTTTTGAAAATATAGTTAAGCTAATGGAAACTAACTTTAAAAGTTATTGGTCAAATTGTCCTATGTTATATGCATTATCAACTATTTTAGATCCTAGGTGTGGAGTAGATGAGACTAAATCTTTGATGACTGCTACAGTGAAAAATTTAGGTATTTATATGCAATTAACTATTTCTGACGCTAAGAAAATGTTAGAAAAGGTATTTGATTTGTATGAAGCAAAATACATCACAGGTAAGAAAGAACAGGGAACTTCGACGTCAACTAGCAGTTCGGGGCCTAAAGGCTCGTCGTGGAGTTTCTTGAAAAAGAAAGAGAAAACGACAAGATCGTCATCAACACAAGCATCTACCGAACTGGTAAAATATTTTGAAGTAAATTTTATAATCGATGATGACAAATTGGACATCTTACAGTGGTGGAAGAGCAAGACCAATCGTTTTCTAATATTGTTTGTAATAGCTCGTAACATTTTGACAACTCTAGTGTCAATGGTAGCATCAGAGCAAGTATTTAGTGCAAACAACCGAATTCTTAACGAGAAAAGAAGCAGAATGCATCTAGATATCTTAGAGGGGCTAATGTGCGTTAAAGACTAAAAAGATGCCAGAAGACGAAAACAACAATACACAGATGATTCAATGCAAGACTATTTTTCTAACTTAGAAATAATAAAATCTTCTGTAAGCACTTAGGTTTTCTAATTTACTATTCTTAGAATACTACACTCTTTTTTTCTTCGCTAAGGTTTTGTTCCTATCTCCCCATGGGTTTTACTTGATAAGATTTTTAACGAGACAGTTATTTATGTGTACTTATTCGTATTATCTCAATTCAATAAAACCACATCTTTTGGAGGTATATGATATATTTTCTTTTTTTAAATTAAATTTTGAAAAAAAAAATTACAAGGGCCAAGGCCGGCCTGTGAAGGGCCTGGGCCCAGGCCCTTATGGACTAGGGCCGCAGGCCTAGACCAGGCTTGAGATTTTCTCCTCAGGCCCGGTCTTGCATATTTTCTTTTTTTAAATTAAATTTTGAAAAAAAAAATTACAAGGGCCAGGGCCGGCCTGTGAAGGGCCTGGGCCCAGGCCCTTATGGACTAGGGCCGCGGGCCTAGACCAGGCTTGAGATTTTCTCCTCAGGCCCGGTCTTGTACTATGTAGGACAGTGCCAGGCACAGCCCAAGCCCGCCATGAACCTAGAGTTGGACGTGCCGTGCCGGCCCGGCACGTTTGACAACTGTATTCATAAGAAAGTAAATGGAAAGTTCTCTTGCAAGGAAATTAGAGAAAATACCCTCCTAGATAAATATTTAGAATTGAAGGGAGAGTAAAGGATGAGGAAAGATCTGATTATCTCAATTCTGAAACCTACAATTATGGTTGGCAAAACCCAGAAATTATGATCATCCATTTGCAAAGCTGGGAGGTCTTATTTGTTCAAAGTTTACATACAATGTATAAAACTCTAAATGTAGCCTTGGCAGACGAATGATGCAGATGTGTATACCCCCCCTTATAAAATACAACAATCTTGAGCCAAGGATGTGTGTACGGCTACCTAAAACATGGATTATTGTTCTCCAACCAGTAAGATGAATTAAAAGAATATAAATTATTCTTTCTTATTCACTTTTGTCTTTGCTGCTTTGGTTTTCATCCTGAGGTAGAGGAGCACCAGCTTCAGACTTGCTCAATGCCGGGGAAGAATCCATCAGACTGGCAGCTATGGCAGCCTTCAAGTCATCGTCTTCCATCTGCGAAAGCATTTCCACTTCTCCAGAGAACAGACCGTTAGGCTCGTTCAAATTTATTGTCTGAGATGGATCCTGAGTAGAGTTACAGGATTTAGTTATCCTCTCAGCATCTTCAGGTGTAAGCCACTGGCCGTAACCATTAGAAGCTTCAGAAGCAGGAA